TCTTATAGTTAATGTTTCTTTGTTCCTATATCCCATTAAGAATAACTCACAGATAAATTATACAGTGTTTAAAGACATGTGGCATATAAAGTAAATTAATAATTTTCTTACATATGCTTTAGCAATATGTTTCCAACTTTTAGAGACAATGGTTCCGTTTTCCTCTTTATTAAATTCAAAATAGAGAAGGCACATTAATTTTTATTTTCACTCACTACTTATCCTGGATTTCATTTATTCCCTAAAAATAATGCCTATCAACTTAGTGTTTTTGAACTCTTTATAGCTACCATTATTTCAAATCCTGTCACCCACTCATGAAATAAGATTGTTTCTCTCCTTTAGTTTTCCCTGTCTTCGCTGTCAGATTATTATTCATCAATCAGGACTTTTGTTAATCATTTCACTCAAGCCCCTGAATGGTTTATGTAATTTATCCATTCCTGTCTAAAATTTCCAGGTCATAATCATATTCTCTATTATATTATTTCATCACTCTATCTCTAGTATACAAATGAACTTTTAAATGGACTGACTCTTATATGCTAGAGCTTATACTCTTTTTATCTCTTTATTCAGCCCTTTCTTTATTCTTCAATCTGGCGTCTTCATTTCCTTCTGCCAGCTTACAATCTAGCAGAAGTTGGAGTTTCTCAATGAAGCTTTTCTGATTATGCTTACATATGAATTGTTTTTCCCAGCTCTGAATCCCAGGAACATATTCCCTTGAGTATATACTGCTTTGGACTGCTAGAGTCTTGGCTGTACTGCTTATCACACGTGTGGCATTAGGAAAGGGATTTAACTTCCTTTGTGTCTCCGTTTAAACATGTATAAAGTGGGCAAAGGTGACAGACTCTACCTCAGTTGTGCAGATGAAACAAGCTAACACACATAGAGCCTGCCACATATTATGCATTCAATAGCAATTGTCTTACTTTCCTATAATTATTCTGCAAATGATTCTAACACGTTAGCCTGGCAATGTTACCGTGTTGGCATTTCATAGACTCATGAAGGGTAGTGTCATAAGCACAAGTTGAACTTGGAGTCATCTAAATCAGTGGAAAGGGCTGGGTCACAGAGGAAAGCTTCAACGCTTTTGAGACGAATACAGGGATTACACAGAATATTCCATCAGCATTTTAACCTATGGGTTTTAAGGTAGAGAACTAGGAAAAAACCTCTGAAAAATAAGTAACGTATGGATCTTAGCAATCTCAGGACCAAAAAGGCTTGTGTGGGAACTGTTGCTCCAGGAGTTTTCTTCATTCTTTGTTGTTTTCTCACATATTTCTCAAGGTGGGGCTGTTGGTCTGGCCCATCCTCTATGACATAAAATCTTCACCTAGAGAAAAAAATCTCCCTTCCCAGTCCATATTCGATATATCTGAAAACAGGCCATGGTTTCTCAGCCCATTTGAACATCCACAGGAGTGTCTAAGTTCTGTGACAATCTAAAAAAAGTTCAGAATTAAAGAAAAGCAGTCCCATTTTGACAACTTTATCGCCCCATTGATTTCTCCTGTAAACAGAGCAGGATGGTGTTCTGTTTGGAGCACTGCGGGAATTAACTCCAAATAAGTTCAGCAGTTCGTGGCAGGCAGAGGATGGGGCGGGACCTGCGTGCGGATACGCCCAAGAGGGTGCTGCACCTGCTGGGGCTTGGAGGAGGCACATAGCATGTTTGCACTGGTGACAGGCGTGCTACTCCAAACTAAACACACCCATTGCTGACTGCACCACAAAGGCAAAATTATCTTAGCTTGGAAGCAGCCTGGTTATTTATCTATGTCAGAAAAGAAATAGCTTCACCTCAGAGCTCTGTGAAGAACCTTGAAGCAAGTTTTCTTAGCTCTTATTTCTGTAATTATTTTTCACAGAATGGAATCCAAGCCACTACTGTTGTCTTTGTTCATCCCACACTTGCTCCGTAATTCTCTACACCCACTTTACAACTTACTGCTTTCTGCCCTGCTTGGTAAACTTATCTTCCCTTCGCATTCCTGGTGTCAATGAGGCACAGAGAGTCAAATTGTGTTATTTACTATTCACATGAGGCTGGGAAATTTTCTGGACATCTGTGTGCCGAAGTTCTGCTTACAAGAGGCATTGTTCTGCAGTGTTTAGAGGATTGTCAAGAGCACGAGCACAATACTGAGTAAATGACAACTTTTGGCGTTGAAAAATAAGATTCCTACTATACCGTTGTTAATGGTCAGAAAAAAGGCCATCTAGCACCCTACCCATGCAATTGTCTCTCTCAACTCTAGAAAAATTTACTTATAATCACCAGCTAAGCTCTACAAATATATACAGGACACTGTCATATATAATAAAACACTTCAAAAATATGTGATTGCCAAAGCAAATTGCATATTTAGATTTCGAGAAAAGCTGTATTCTTCTCTTTTTTTTTTTTTGTTGGAGTCTCCCTCTGTTACCCAGGCTGGAATGCACTGGTGCAATCTTGGCTCACTGCAACCTCCACCTCCTGGGTTGAAGCAATTCTCCTGCCTCAGCCTTCTGAGCAACTGGGATTATAGGTGCGTGCCACCAGACCCAGCTAATTTTTGTATTTTTAGTAGAGACGGGGTTTCACCATGTTGGTCAGGCGGATGTCAAACTCCTGACCTCGTGATTCGCCTGTCTACGCCTCCCAAAATGCTTGGATTACAATTACAGTTGTAAGCCACCACACCTGACAGCTGTATTATTCTTTAAAAAATCGTTTCATAAAATTGTATTATCACCTCCTTGAGTTTCTGTTTTTGGGAAACATATTGTGTCTTAATAACTCTTCGTGCATCAGTAAGTATAGCGTATCTTCATACTATCTGTCCTGTTAGGAACCAGAAGAGAACTTAACTGCTTGAAGTCCCAAGATTCAAGGGAATCTTACTATGTAAAAATCAAGCTCATCATTCCTTCGACTATTTAAAAAAGTAGATGAGATGAATCTAATACCTTTACTATACTTTCATTGACCAGAATTAGTATAGTACGTTTTTAAAATACCATAAAAATGCCCTTGTAAGGTGAAACTAAATTATAATCATGCTTAATCTTTAATACGATTTTACTTATTTCTGTCATACATGATGCACATCACAAAATGATGCCTTATTTTGGGGTTGGATTATGAATCAGCAGATTGAAAAATGGAATCACAGAGATTTTCAACTCCTATTATACTCTATCTTTTAAAACGTTCTTTTCAACATCTTCTCTTTCTGACAGCTAATTCATATATTGATTTCTTGGGTCATATAAGGCAAATATCCAGCTTGAGATGTGAAATAATGAGATAATTTACGTAGACTGGGGAGACTGACCTCGGCAGATTCTGAAGCTCTGGAGTGTTTCTATTATTACTCTTATATCCCATGTTGCAGGACTTCAGCTATTGATTTTGTTTAGTACGAATGACTTATTATCATGAGGAAAAGGTGAAGTTTTAATGGATTTAGAACCGTGGTCTATGGTTATGGCATTTTTTTTAGCCCATTAGAAAATAAAATGGACAGAACAAAATTAATATTAGGTAGTTATTCCCTCTGTACCATGTCCTCCCTCCCTTGTTTTCTCCATTACATCTTCATAATTATTTCTCTCTCTATTCAAAGACTATTGTGTACTTACCAGGCAACAGGCATTCGCCAGACACTGGGGTTAAAATTCTTCACATTGCTGCCACTGAGGCAGAGAATAAACTTTGCCCCACCACCCTACAGTGCCAGCAGCACCACTAAGGCAGAGGATATACTTTACTCTGCCACCCCACACTGGCAACAACCATCATCATCAAAGGGCATGCAGGCACATACCCACGTGCAAGCACCCACATACACATGTGCGCGCGCACACACACACACACACACACTTCAATTTTTGGCTGTGTCCCCACCCAAATCTCATCTTGAATTGTAGTTCCCATAATCCCCATGTGTCATAGGAGGGACACTGTAGAAAGCGATTGAATCATGTGGGCAGTTCCCTCATGATATTCTTATGATGGTGAGTCTCATGAGATCTGATGGTTTTATAAATCTGGCGCTTTCCCTGCTGGCACTCATTCTGTCTCTTGCTGCCCTGTGAGGAGGTGCCTTCTACCATGATTGTAAATTTCCCAAGGCTTCCCCAGCAATGTGGAACTGTGAGTCAACTAAAACTCTTTTCTTTATAAATTAACCACATTTCTTTATAAATCCACATTTACTAAATAAGAGAGTTGCTGGAATTAAAACCTGAAAACTTTTCATTTTTCCCAAACTTCCCAAGAAATTACAGGTCATGGTCAGATATGGCAAATAATTCTTTATTTTTTTTGAGACAGGTCTTGCTCTGTCAACCTGGGTGGAGTGCAATGGTATGACAGCTCTCTGTAACCTCAAACTCCCAGGTTTAAGTCATCTTCCCACCTTGGCATCCCAAAGTGCTGCATTACAGGCGTGAGCCGTCATGTCCAGCATAAATTATTCTTAAACTGTGAAATTTGCTGTTCTTACTATGGATGTCAAAATTCATTTGCACTCCTCCTCATAAAAAATATGTCCAAGATAAATTATTAATAACTGCTAATGATTTAGTGTTGCTATAAGGAAAATTTGCATTTGAAAAAGACACCTAAGGACAAAAGTCTTACACTAACAGAACAAATATACAATGTGAATTGTCAGAACTAAAATGTGCTAATAAGGAACAATATTTTTGGGAAACCAGCATCACTGGTATGCCTCATAACCCACAAAAGGATGGTGACAGCCTCCTACTGATAAGGGAGAATTGTATTTTAAGGAGAAAAGTAAAACATACATACATAGACACACACAATCATGCGCATGTGTGGTATGTATAAATCAGTTTTTAATTACTAAAGTGGCGTATAATGGAGGAAAGAAAACATTTGAACAAGACCATTAAAATGAAGTGATTGAATCACTGCAGAAATGCATTAACATGCGGTTGTGACTCATGTGCTGTCTCACTTTTCTGGCAAGGCAGCTGCTTACCATTAATGACCAGCAACAGTGACGAGGGATCCATCTGCCCTGTTCTGGAACAAGGGAATGCACCACCTGTTAAATTTATAACTACAGCTTCCACAAATGAACATGAAAATGAAGCCTCCAGATTGGAAATAATGTGTAGCTTTTATGTAAAAACATCAAGATATTCAAAAGTCTGTTTGTTCTCTCCACTTAGTGTTTTGAAATGCTTGAAAGAAAAAACAGTGCTAAGTGTGAGATGAGTATCTTTGACACAATGCCAATTGTTAACCAGAATGTTCCACATTAATAAAATGGTTTCAGATTCATTGGAAACTAACTGTCCCTGCTTCTGCCCTGAAAAACACCTGTGGGAAAAGCAATGCAATTTTGTAAATCTGTGAGTGTCAATCTGATATAACTGTTCTATCCCAGAGAAGTAATAGAAATCAATAAACACAAATAAGGAAATTGTTCTAACATTTTGAGATCATAATCTTCTCTGAATATTAAAGTTTATGGCATACAAGAAAACCCTGATTCTCACTGCTTTTTTTCTCTTCTTTACCTCAATTAATGTTCTTATCTCTTCAGTGAGTAAATGTCTCGTTTTTTCCTTTATGTATTTCCGTTTCTTTTTTTAAATTGCATTTTAGGTTTTGGGGCACATGTGAAGAACATGCAAAATTGTTGCATAGGTACACATATGTCAGTGTGATTTGCTGCCTTCCTCCCCAACACCTGTATCTGGCATTTCTCCTCATGCTATCTGTCCCCAACTCCCCACCCCCTGCTGTCCCTCCCCTATTTCCCCCCAACAGACCCCTGTGTGTAGTGCTCCCCTCCCTGTATCCATGTGTTCTCATATTTCCGTTTCTATAACTTTGCTTGTATTATGTTCTCAGTTACCTTTACCTCATACCATTAGGCTTGTTAGCAAAGTCAGTCAACCTTGAAGGCCTGGCTAACCTCAGGTCTCTTTTGTGATGAGGTCTCAGAGAAGTTTACCTCAAGGGTGTACCTAGCTCTTCTAAATATTAATATTAGGGACTCATTTTTTCTGAATAAATTTGAATTTTTGAGTAAATTGATGTAAATGTGGAAAATGATTTAAATGTTTATCAAATGCTCCTCAGATTTCTATATAATGCAAAACTATTTTTCGTTTATTAAAGACCTAAAATTTAATAAAATTAATATGCATTATATTAACTAAGGTAAAAAGGAATTTATTACTCACAAGAAAACAAGAAGCACGAGCATCTGCATATTTGCCAGTTTCCTTTTCCAAGAAGTGCCCAGATTAATGCTTGACATATTCTACAGGAGAGGATTCCTGAGTTATGGAACCCACGTCATTCAAAACAGAGAGTTAGCAGGCCTGATCTTTGCCACAGAATGATAACTTATTTATGATTCTAAACAGTATACATGACTGCCTTTTGCTGCAGAACAAAGATCAATTGGTGTCTGTGCATTCAAGATACGGAAAAATGAGAGAGATCTACAGAGAATCATCTGCCAACAATTTTCTCAACTTTATCCTGGTTTCTAAAGAATTTTCTCCTAAGTGCGGTATTGTATCAGTCACTCTGATAAATATGACCAACAAAAACGGAAACCGCAGCTGTTCAATTCAAATAGTGTTTTTTAAGGCTACTCTCAACACAATTCCAAACATCAGGTTGAGGCCATCTGGCAGTACTGACCGCTACTATTCCTGTTGGTTCCCAGGCTCAAATGAACAAATCTCACTGGAATCTCTCCCAGAAATGCAAGTAGTTTTCTCCTAAAATTTCTATATTGACATTTCTCCTTAAATTTCTATATCAATAATTCCACTTCACCTGAAATATAAACCAGGTACAGTAGGAAGTGTTAGAGATTGCAATGACTACCTCAGCCAGCTCCGAGAAAGTCTAAGACAATTCTACAGTCCATAACCTCCCGACCTATGATTCGAGGATAGTCTGGTAGCCTTGCAATGTCAAGGTGGTGTAATTCATTATATAAAAGTCAGAAATACCTGTATCAATACTCTTTTTAATTAGAAGGCACCCAAGTAAGAAGAAGTTCTCACAGGGTAGGCATAAATTATAGTAATACATGAGTCAGTTAAAACTCTGACTATCTTCCATGTATATGCAAATTTAGCCTCACTTTTGAGATTTGCACAATCATATTACATATACTTGACCTATTGGTCATGTTTTCTTAAATACTTGAAGATCATTATGGCCACCCTGTACAAGCCAGTACAAGCCACAGGATTTGGGGAGGAAGGGAAGGTAGTAACTGGCTTTCACACAATAAATATTCTTGGGGGTGCACCTGATATCCCTTGTGAAAACAAGTGTTATTTATTATTGTTTGGGCCCCTAAGAGGGACCTACATTAGTTGAGGTGGGGGACAGATATTGACTGTCTCCAACATGACATCCTAGCCAACTGATAGACTTTAGTTCTCAGTTCAGTTTATTTATTTGAGACAGTGTCTTGCTCTGTTGCTCAGGCTGGAGTGCAGTATAGCAATTTCTACTTACTGCAACCTCCGCCTCCTGGGCTCAAGTGAGCTTCCCATCTCAGTCTCCCAAGTAGTTGGTATTACAGATACGAATCATCATGCCTGGCTAATTTGTGTGTTGGCTAGACTGGTCTTGAACTCCTGGCCTCAAGCTATCTACCCACCTCTGCCTCCCAAAGTGCTGGGATTATAGGTGTGAACCACTGTGCCTAGATTCTCAGTTCAGTTTAAATAACTGATTCTAGTCTTTGTTTTTAGATGGACACTTGAGGACAGTAAGTTCAATCTATTTTGATTGTTTATGCCATCAGCATGATGGCATTCATCTGCCCCAGAGAATGACCGGTGGACAGTAAGTTCAATCTATTTTGATTGTTTATGCCATCAGCATGATGGCATTCATCTGCCCCAGAGAATGACCGGTGGACAGCTTTGAGAATGGGGCAGGGAGGACACCAAGAAGATGCTGTAGTGAAACATCTTTTCTCATCCCCTTTCTAAAAGGGGAAGGCTGTCTACATTTTACCTATTATGTGTATGATGATGTTCTCTCTATATACACATTTCATTTCTTTGTTATATATATGTATACACACACACAAGTACATTTAAAGTTACCCTTTATTAGACTTATAATCTCTCTAAAAGAAATAGTTTGGGGTATCTTCCTCACTTTCACACATAGTGAGTTGTGGGCTCTTATTGGTGGAAAAGTTGAGAGCATAACATGTGCACCTGGCGGCTGCATTGGTCTGCAGTCCAGGATTTGTTGGGGAGAAGGAAGTTGCTTTATGTGGATGAAGGATGGGACACACGCAATAGAGTAGTTGTGTTGAATTGTACTGAGTTCTGTTCAATAAAGCCACGGGAATAGATAAACCTGACTTAGAAAGGAAATAAGGTGACATCAAATTCCTGAGGGCTAAAGAAGTAGTAATTGACTGGCTGGGATAGGAATACATTTACTGCATGAAGGACTCTGTGAATCAAAGAGCCCTGGTGATGTGGAAGGTCTCCCAACAACCAAGGATAGAATTGTCCGAGACTGAACATACTTAATTACCGCATTGCGATTGTGTTTGTCATTTTGAGTGACTAAGGCTAAACAACAAAAAAGTGTGGCCTTAATTTTCATATAAGGCCAAAAGAAAAATTAGCTTCCAAGGGTCAAAATAAAGTTCTTTCTGATCGTGTCCACAGAATTAAGTTGGCAGAACATTCTGGTTACATGACATATAGGACAATTTATTTAAGATGCATGGGAATTAATACATGTTATGTATTATCTATAATATATGGTATCTATGTTTTAAACTTTGTTGTTGAGATAACTAAATTGTTTCTCATTAGTAATTGGTGAAAAACCTTTAACTGGATATGGAAAATAAAATGTTCTATATTCTCATTCAGTTTATATGCTGTCATTTTTTCCTTATCCTGAATTCTTCTTTCTTCACTCACTGAGAGTTGTTGGAGCTTTTCATAGTAATTGTAGAAAAATCTGCCTCTGTTAGTTTCTTAATCTGTAATTTTTAAATACTCATAGCAAATAAGTAACCAAGTATAATGTCTGATTTAAAGGATTTTTTTTCTTTTGGGAGGTACCCACAGAAATAATCCTACCTACTGCTATCTACTTATTATTTATTACAGAACTATTCCTACTGCTAGCTACTTATTATTTACCTTTTTGTGTAGCTCTGTAACGATTTACTTTTCCTGTCCTGAATAATGTGAATTATGTGTCCTCAATTCAGATTCTTTTATAAAATGGCACATTCTGCATCATGAAATAGGCTTTATAGTCCCCGTTTTTTTGGTAAAAAGAGTGAGATTGGAGTTTGAGTTTCTAACAGCACTTGATTGATAGTCATGGTCAATTTAATTATTCCTGTATGACTTTGTTAAATTTCCCTTAAACCATGTTGAGATTTCAATGTCTAAACATTGTATCCTCCAAATAGGTTATACTCATCATGATTACATATTAACTCTCATATGAAGGATCAATATTTGGGAAGAACCCATTAGAAAAGCTATACTTTGCATTTAAAATATAAAGGGTAAAAGTATAGACTCTAGATATCCTCACTCAAGATGACACATCATTAAATAACATATATATAATAAAGCAGTAAAAAAGTCATGATTCCCAGAATAAAAATTATGTTTGCTTAACTGACTTCATATCTAATGATGCTAAACAATTGTTTTTGTTTTTAAAATATAAAAGTGCATTTGTAACAGGTATGAAAGATAACTGTTGTGTAGGCTTTAAGTAATTCTCAATATTAGATGGTTCATGGAATACACATACTGGGGAACAATTGTTCATATTTTTCATATGTTTTATTACATAAATATCTGGAGCTTTTTTCCATTGGATTTTTATTGTATTTTATTTATGTTTTAAAATTATACTTTAAGTTCTGGGATACATGTGCAGAATGTGAACATGCAGGTTTGTTACCTAGGTATACGTGTGCCATGGTGGTTGGCTGCACCTATCAACCAATTGTCTAAGTTTTAAGCCCCAAATCCATTAGGTATTTGTCCTAATGTATCCCTCCCCTAGTTCCCAACCACTCAACAGGCCTCGGTGTGTGATGTTCCCCTCCCTGTGTCCATGTGTTCTCATTGTTCAACTCTCACTTATGAGTGAAAACATGTGGTGTCTTGTTTTCTGTTCTTATGTTAGTTTGCTGAGAACAATGGTTTCTAGCTTTATCAATGCCCTTGCAAGGAAATGAACTCATTATTTTTTGGCTGCATAGTAGTCCATGGTGTATATATGCAATACTTTCTTTATCCAGTCTATCATGGGTGGGTATTTGGGTTGCTTTCAAGTCTTTGCTACTGTAAATAGTGCTGCAATAAACATACATGTGCATGTGTCTTTATAGTAGAATGATTTATAATCCTTCGGGTATATTCCCAATAATAGGATTGCCAAGTCAAATTGTATTTCTAGTTCTAGATCCTTGAGGAATTGCCACACTGTCTTCCACAATGGT